TTACAAATTAAAGGTTTAAATAAAGATTTATCCTACCCTATCCTTAAGAAAATTACAAAGCCATAAAGACAAAAAGGAAATAAGTAAATATAAAGATGAATAAAATGTTATGAATCTCCAAAAAATCAATATCGATGTCCTCAATCTTTAATAGTGGATGATGATTCTTCAAACTTTTCCTTGCGTTTTTTACTAGCTAGAGAAGTTAAAGAATGCCTTCACGCTGTCCTTAGGCTTCTAAGTCTTTCTTTTCCATATTTATAGGTTTCTGGACTATATGAAACCATCCTGTTTGTATTAAGGATGTGATAGATTTGGCTTAAAGTGCATCGATCGAGTGTCACATGACCCACTTATATAGTAGACTTATGGGCACAACATTTGTGAATCTATTAGCATATTCTTGCACATAAGTATTTCTTGGCATAGAGCATACATATACTTAGTTGTGCTCATATTTTTGCACTTTATTTTAAAGGTAGGTGTTGAGAACACTTTATGAAAAGTAGAGTCTGTAATGACCTGCTTGGCCGTCACACACAGCTCATAACACATCACAATACCACACAGAAAAGAGCAAGTATATATATATATATAAGCAGCTAAAATGTATATACACAAGGTCTAGCCTGGGGCTTAAAATCAGAATAAACACATTACATCCAAAATGGCCAAACTAGTGGCTAAAACAACAAAACATCAAAATTCACTCCATCTGCCAGCTGCAGACCTACCTCAAGACCAGCCTATCCCTGTTTTGTTCCCATACATAATATAATCATCGCAGTCCAAACTACATGGAAACAACAAAGGGTAAGCTAGTGAAAAGAATCAACATATACACATATAATTACAAGAATTATAATCAACTACAACTAACAACATATCATTTAGTTCAGCAACATCAGTAAATAATATATCACAGCATACATCTCACATCATTCAGCAATAACAGCAGTAAACACACAATGCGCCGTCATGCATACAAGCTCGGAGATCTCCTACAACAGCTCAGCCTTACGGCTTACAACAGTTTATATCATCACGCAGCACAACACAACATACAACAATAACAGCATATAGCACAGCTCAACATTTTACAACACAACTTTTACATCAATTCAGCATTAATAATTTACCACACAATAATCTTATCATTCAGCTCAACAATGTTCATCAATAACAGTTCAGCTCAGCATAATACAACATTTATCGGCATATAATAGCATATAATATAACATCACACCCGCGCCCGGCGCACTCATGGTTGCGCCCGGCGTGGCCCAACCAGAGAGCATCAGGGCTTAAACACGCTCGGCGCAATACCAATGCGCCCAGCGTGCTAGGAGGCAGAGACCTCAAAAGGTCTCACACGCCTGACGTGCCAAACCCGCGTTCGGCGCAGGGTAGACAGAGACCTCCCCAAGGTCTCATGCCCGGCGCAATACCAATTGCGCTCGGCGCCACCACTGGCAGAGACTCCCAAGGAGTCTCCACGCCCAGCGAGACAAGGTCACGCTCGGCACAACACCGGAAAACACAACAAAGTGGTCACTGATTGATAACGTGCCCAGCGTGGTCCAACCACGCCCGGTGTGAACCATCCAGGAGCATCCCTCTTCAAACTCGCCAGCGCACACAACCTTGCGCCTGGCGGGCTCGACCAAAGGTGCCCTTTGATGGTCACGCGCCCGGCGCTAAGAACTGCGGTCGGCGTGTTCTCAATCAGGAACCCTCCAACTTTGAAAATTTCTTCAAAACCTACACAAAATCAGCTTCCCAAACACATGCAATCGGCCCAAAACATCACATTTTCATCAAACAACCCAAAAATCCCAACTTTTTCAACATGCAACCACAATCAAGGAAAACCCCCAAATTTTCTCCAAACCTCGGAAAACCCGAAAACCCCAATTTCTTCAATCTCAGCCAAAAACCATCAAACATCAAACAACTAATGAGTTCCTAGAACTCATTTACAACCAAAATCAGCAAGACTTAACTTTCCTTACCTCGGTGCAAAGATTCCAAGCTCCAGGAAGAAGAAATGGAGAAGAAGCTTGAACGAGCGGAGAAGAAGCTCAACGAGGAAGAAAGGAAATTCGTCCGGCACACTCAATCAGATCTAGTCAGCACCTATATCACCACAAGGAATCAGCAATTGATGGAAGAGGAGAGTGAGGAATGAGAGTAAGTGAGAGTTTAAAGAGAAAGAGAGTTGGGGAAAGGAAGAAAATCCGCACGGGGTCTCACACAGAATCCAAATACAAGATTATTAAAACTCAAACTTTATTTATAAACTTAAAGTTTTTTTGATTCGTCCCTAGAGTATCCACCGCCGATAGTGATGACTAATCTCCTCGCTACGTTGGAGGCACCTCAAAGGGTGGGATAGCTGGCCCCGCGTTAAATCTTGGGGTCAGCTATCCCACTCTTTGAGGTGCCTCCAATGTAGCGAGGAGATTAATCACCGCTTTCAACAGTGGATACTCCAAAAAACTTTAAGTTTATAAATAAAGAAAAAAATCACAATTAGTTGTTTTAAATTAATTACTGAAAAGTTGAGTATGATTGTTTATCCAAATTTTAATTTATTATTAATACTTAAAAAACACGCTAGTCGGTTCCACAGTCTTTTGTTCATTATGAATATGAGTGTGAATTAATCGTGGGTGCTCATATTTTATAATTTAGCAAAAAGATTTGATGTCTATATATACCAAAAACAGCATAAAGATTTTATCATAAATATCGATAATGATCTTCCCTCATAAGCCATATGTATCTACCGCATTACGTCTTTCTTAAATGTGCTAACTACATTGGGTAAGCTACTTATTGTCAACTATAATGGCTCTTAACTTTATTATGGCAGTCTACAACTTGTGCGGTTTCTTAATTCAAACTTAAACCAGCTGATCTGACCCTAATATATATATATATATATATATATATTTTTATTAGTATCAGACCTTAAGTAATATAACTATAATAAGAGGTTTTCTTTTTTATTATTTGTGTGTATTTCCACAAAGATAATCATAAACCACCTCTCAAAATGTTTACGATTATTAAACAAGTATTTTCTAGGACAGTTATAGGATTTAAATATGACACTACGAATAAAATTAGCTTTTTTTAGTACATAATAAAATTAGTTTGAACCATAACTATTTTTTTTATAATAATTAATAACTTTTGAATAATATAATAGAGTTGATTAGATATGATGATCGTAATTGTCAATTTTTGACCGTACTAGTATATATATAACATTAAATAACAACATAAACAAATGTGCAAATGTAGCTTAAAATTAAATACTGTAATATATATTGAATATTTATACTACTATACGACTACTATAATGCTTTGCTGGGGTTCGCTGGTCACAGAACAAGTTAATTTAGCTATGCTAGTAATGAATAAGATTAATTATACTAAAAATTTATTGGCATATCTCACCAAAAAAAACTTTAATTACTACAAGTTTTTCTTAATCTATATAACATCATTGCTCATTAAGACAAATATTTCCCCACTTTTATCAGCGTAGCTTAATTATATAATGATTACAAGTTATTGAATTATTTGCTCCGTGTTTTGAAAAATAAAATATAATAATAATTGTTGATTAAAAAATTAACAATAAATATTATAATTATTTTTAAATTTTATTACACATATATTTAATTTTATCATAAAATTTTATTGTTAATTTTTTAATCAATTATTACTATTGCATTGTATAGCATTATTATACGAACCAAACCCTAAGTTATTCGAGTCTGTTTGTTTAGTGTTTTAAATTATATTTATATTATTTATCTCAAGGATTTCATTCTGAATAATTTATTTAATCTACATAAATTAAAAGACCAGAATGTACAATTAAATTTTTAATTTAATTTTTGTTTAAATATTAGATATTATTTTACTAGCTCCCTTTAAAAAAAATATTAATAACTCTAGCCGGTAAAAAAACTTAGATATTTTTTAAATAACAAATTGACTCACCGAAAGTTAATCAACATCAACTTAATTCAAAACAAATTTAAATGAATGAATAATAGATTTAATGGATCATTTAGTTCTGAATTAAAAATAAAATCAATTAATTAGTCTCTGAACTAATTCTTTTTCATAATAAGATCCTTCATTTTTTATATTTTTATAATTTAGTCCTTATGATTATAAATTTATTTATATAATCCGTAAAAAATTTCAAATTATTTATAATATTTACATATCATAATAATTATAAATAATTATATCAGATTATATATATTATTCAATGTCATCATTTATGTGTATGAAGAATATATTTTATGAAATTTAATGAATTATAAACAAAATTCTAACTATACAGACAAAATTATAATTTTTTAATTTAAATAATTAATTGAAAAACCCTAAAAAAAATTCTGGAGCAAATTATGCATTGAACTTAAATAATACTGGAGTACTCAAATTAAAACGCATGTGTAACATAATTAATAAGAGGCAAACACAGTTAGCAAGATACTATAGTAATTGGGTTTGCAGTTTTCTTGTTTAAGTGACGTGGACAAGCTAGTCGATCACATCTCAACGTACCTAAGACCATATGGAATAAGCAACCGTATCCATTTCACTGGTAAATCAGTTCTTATGGGTTGTTTAAATTTTAATAAAGTTACTTCTATAAATAACTCTACTAAAACTTAAGCAACTTATAAAGTGAACTAAAACTGATTTGGCAGGTGACACAAAAAATTACTTATAAGTAATTTCGTTGGAAATGCTCTAACGGTCAAGCATATTGTCCGACTAATTTATGTACATATATAATATATGATAATTAGTTTAAAAAGCACGTTAATAATAACATTGATAATTTAAAAAAAGAAAAATAAATATGTTCATTTACTAATTTAGAATTTATGTTAAAAATTATAAAAGAGTTGGTTCGTTGGGGGTTGAGACATTGACATGGTGTGTTAGGTCTCTCTCTTCACATGCACAACCCCAACTCATTCATTCACCCACTCACTCACTCACTCCACTCTCCTTCTTATAAAACAACACCCCGCTTCAAATTTTAATCAATCCACCAAAATTCTCCAATCTCTGCCCCTACACAAACACACAAACACACACACACACTCATGGATCTCCTCTGTCTCTTCTACCTCGTCCCAACGTTGTACGCGTGTTTCCTAATCTGGAAAATGTTGAACGAGAGAAGAGACAGAGAGTGCTACATCCTGGATTACCAATGCTACAAGCCCCCCAACGACCGAATGCTGGGAACAGAATTCTGCGGCCAACTCATCAAAAGAACCGAAAACCTGGGACCCAGCGAATACCGGTTTCTGCTAAAAGCCATCGTGAGCTCCGGCATCGGAGAACAAACCTACGCGCCGAGAAACATCTTCGAGGGGCGCGAGGGCTCGCCCACGCTCCGCGACGGCATAGGAGAAATGGAGGAGTTCTTCCACGACAGCATCGGGAAGCTCCTCTCACGCGCCGCCGTGTCCCCCTCGGAGATCGACCTCCTGGTGGTGAACATCTCCATGCTCGCCGCCCTCCCCTCCCTCTCGGCGCGCATCATCAACCGCTACAAGCTCCGCCACGACGTGAAGGTGTACAACCTCACCGGAATGGGGTGCAGCGCCAGCTTAATCTCCCTCGACATCGTGAAAAGCGTGTTCAAGACGCAACGTAACAAGCTCGCGTTGCTCGTCACTTCCGAGTCTCTCAGCCCCAACTGGTATTCCGGCAACGACAGATCCATGATTCTCGCTAACTGTCTCTTCCGCTCCGGAGGCTGCGCGATTCTCTTAACCAACAAAAGATCCATGAAGGACAAGGCCATGTTGAAGCTTAAGTGCTTGGTGCGAACGCACCACGGCGCGCGAGAAGAGGCTTATGGCTGTTGCATTCAACGCGAAGACGAAAGCGGAAGGTTAGGGTTTCATCTCGGTAAAACCCTCCCCAAGGCTGCTACAAGAGCTTTCGTTGATAACCTACGTGTCATTGCGCCTAAGATATTACCAACGCGAGAGTTGTTGAGGTTTCTCTTTGTTTCCCTTATCAAAAAACTGAACAAAAACAACACCCCCAAGGTCTCAGCCCTCGGCGCCACCAAGTCCCCGTTGAACTTCAGAACCGGCGTTGACCATTTCTGCTTGCACACCGGGGGAAAAGCGGTGATCGAAGGCATTGGAATGAGCTTAGATCTGAGCGAGTACGATCTTGAACCGGCGAGGATGACGCTGCACCGTTTCGGGAACACTTCGGCGAGTAGCTTGTGGTACGTTTTGTCGTACATGGAGGCGAAGAAGAGGCTGAAAAAGGGTGACACGGTGTTCATGATAAGCTTCGGTGCAGGCTTTAAATGCAATAGCTGTTTGTGGGAAGTAATGAAAGACATGGGTGACGCCAACGTGTGGGACGATTGCATTGAAAACTACCCACCAGATTCATTGGCCAACCCCTTCATGGAGACCTATGGTTGGATCAACCAAGTCGAGGATCCCAACACTTACGAAAATATTCCCGATTTTCTCAAGTGATTTTCCTCTCTCTCTCTCTCTCTCTCTCTCTCTCGACTCTCCAAGGAACAAGGGTCGCATTCTTTGGATCTCCATCATTTACAGGTGCATCGCTCGATCGATGTAATTGTGCATGCATTAATTGAATTTTTCTGTAAACTATACGTACACTTCTTGTTATTATTATTATTATTGTTGAACCCACTCCTCTAGGGTTCTTTACCCAATAAGGTGTGCTGGATGCTTCTATTGCCACTCTGCTTAAGGGTATGCTTAATTAATTTCTTACTTTTCGTTTGCATCATTTGTTTAAATGTGTTATAATAACAGGTTTCTTTGCTGACAATGCAAAAACAAAACGGCAAAAGAATAATCTCTAATAGTTTTTCTTAGCTCTTGTTTAGTGATAGCGGATCATTTTCGGTTTCTTTCTTATTCTGGAACTAGTCCGGGTTTTACTTTTTATATTATTTATTTCTTTATTACAACTTTACTATAGTCAAATACTTCTTCTCCTAATCTCCAGGTTCCATCTAGTGATAGAATTTAGAGTAGAATATATAAGATAATGGATTTGAACCATGTTATTATGATTATAATTTCTATAAATAAAAAAAATCTTTTTCTCTTTCATAAATAAATGTCGTATGTAAAGAAAAAATAAGTTACAAAATTAATAAGTGTTTGTTTAGTTTTATACTTTTTTTTATTTATATCCTTAATAATATTTTTTAGACTATTGTTGATTGCACCTATCTACCAAAAAATATTAATAATAAAGTTATTTTTATAAAATTATTATTCCTTTTAATCTATTTAATTATTAATTTATTTTGTCTTTGAAAAAAAAAACAAGACAACACTCATCACAAGAAATTTGACTTGCGATAATAAACAAAATTTGTTAATAAAGTTAGATATTTGTAGATAAATATTTATTCTATATTTACTCACCGATAATCTATTCGTCTAAATAAAGGTATCTTTATTTTACCTATAATCGTCACATTTGTAAAAACAAAATATCTGTAAGTATATAGTAGTGTATTAATATTTTCCTTATAGGGACTTATTACGAGAAAGAGTACTACCTTCCTTATATTGACTTATTATTTTTCTTATAGTGATTTAAAGTTTTTATAAACAAATCTATTTTTTTATAAAAATAAATTTGGAGTTTTTATTATACTTTTTCATTTTTTACACCACAATATATGTATATTGGATTTAAATATGTAAATTAATTAAAAATTACCTCATTTGTTCATTTTTAATAGTCTTTTAAAGTTTTTATACACAAATCAAGAAATACAATAAATTTTTCTATTTCTAATAAAGATAATTTTGATGTTTTCTATTATAATTTCTTTCATTTTTATTTCGTAAGGATATAATTGGCCGAAAATAGTCATGTCTTGAACGTTTCTTAAAACCCAACATAAAAAAGAAACCGTAATTGTCAATTGTGAATTAAGTTCCATTTTTATCCTTTGATAGCTTGTAGTCTTTGAACAGATGAAATTAATTTTCTAGACAAGGACAGCCTGTGTTTTTGTATTGCTACAGCATGTTATTTCCCTTTAGCATAAGGATAATAAGTATGCTATACACAATTAAAATCTTTTAACGCAATTTAATTTGAGTAAATCGAATTGGTGGTCGGTGGACATCAATGCTTTTAAAAAGATGGTGCAAATCAATCTTTAAACTTACCTATAACTTAATAAATGTGTTAATTTATGAAAAAAAATTCTGACCGAATTCTGTCTAGTATTTACCTTTGCTTTATGACAGTTTTATGAGGGAGCTGAGCGTGTTGAATAGCAGTTATTGCAACTACTGAAAAGTTAACGACAAAAAGATAAACTATTGAGTTCTGTGGAATCCTACCCCCTCTTTCTGTGTATACCGTTAGATTTGCAGAAGCCCTAGAAAGTAAACGCACGACAGTGACCAGGTAATGCTTTGATGAACCTTTTTGAGTTGTGGGGTCCTTTTATTAATGGACTTCTCTCTTACTCTCTCCATCTTTCAAGGTTGATGCATTATAGAAGGCTTTCTGATAATTGCATCGGGTTAGATAAAGCTTATTTGTACGTACTTTTTGGAGAAAAAAGATAAAATTAAATTAAAATAATTTTTTTTATAAGTTAAAACTAATTTATGTATGAGATAATGAATTAAAAAAGATTTTTTTTTAAAAATCAATAGAAGAAAATTTTTATAAATTAACTCATACATAAATTAATTTTATTTAATAAAAGAATTTAATTTATTTTTCTTCTTATTCTTTTCTCATAAAATGTATTTTAAAAAAAATTAGCCAAACGTGTAATATTTAAATTTGCTAATCTAGCCGATATATAGTTGCTAAAAATTTGTGCGTGGGGTTAACTGTGATTTCGGGTCTATACTCACAAAACCATAATTCTCAGACTACGCCCAGGGATCTTAAATTTATTTTAAAATAAGGGAGCACTCATTAGTGCTCTTAAACATTCATCTCCAGTTATTCAAAATATTAGCAAAAGTAGTTTAAATGTAAGAGAGAAAAGTTCAAAACTCGAACAATAATTGTTTCATCTAAATTTTCGGCTAGATCGTGAAGCTAGGAAGATCTAGAACAAGGAAAGTCGGTGGTTAGAGCCTTTTTAATTCGCAAGATATTCAATATATAAATTGTAATAAGAACTTTAAATTCATGGAATTAAGAATATAAAAGATCTTATATTATATAGGAGTGAATGCAAATATGCAATCAAACGTAATCTAAGACAATAATAATTAAGAAGAAAAAAAAAAGTTGTATACGACAATAATACTCCTAAAAGTGTCACCGACCGAATGGCATGGCATAGTAAATGTTGTCTCTCACAAAAAACCATTTAGCAAATAAAAAGGAAAATGAAAATATCACATGTTCACAACTAGCATTGAAATATCAATGTCTGCAATGTTGAGACTTGCCACTTGTCACTTTAGACCACATGGTTTATGAATTTGCCTTTTATTCACAAACATTAAAATATGGGAAACCAGGTGAGCGACCCCATGGCCAGCCCCTGTGTGACTAGTTCTGCTACTACATAACTGGCCTCAATAGATATGCAAAATGCAATAAATAGTATCTAACAGCATCGATCCCATAATTTACTGTCATCCTTAAAGTTACAACTACAAACAGCAACGGTTTCAAGTTTCAACTGTTTTAATTTACTTGATATGCCAATAACATGCATATATTGGAGTCAATTATTGCACATAGCTTTGTTAGATTTCATTCAAACAGCTACTCCTTCATTGTGTCTGATATAAATTAACAATGGCCTCCGTTATGACACTTTGTTCATTTATTTCGCCAAGTTGAGACTTAAGACGCAATGAGTATATAATTTGATTTTCTATTTTACAACACTAGGGGATGATGTCTAGAGAAAATTGATATGTGGGTAATCTCTCAAGACAACAAATATATATAATATTTAAATGCTGTAATGGATATGAACATAATTAGGGAGTGGAAGGGGTAGACCCAATGAAGTGGATATATAGCATTATATATATGCCAAAATGCAATAATATCTAGTCAATGTTGCTCATGTTACAGTAACAGCAACATTATAACACATTTCTGCCTTATTACGTGACAAAAAAGGGTATTAAAAAGCATAATTAGTAGCGTCACGCTACTAGCGTATATAATAGTATTGTAAAAGATTTAAAAACTGATCAATTGAGTTAAATCTAAATTAAAGGATTAATTAAATAAAGTGTTAGATATAAGCAGATCTGCTGCATGGTAGAATATTTCTGTCATTTAAAGCTTTAATACTATATATCAAGCCTAGCTAGGAACAAAAAAAGAACAAAACTGTAATGTCAAAAAGTTAAGTACATAACAATTGTGGTCCTTCTGAAAGGAAAAAAAAATGCTGTGCTTTGCATAGCAGAGGACAGCTAGTAGAATGGTAAATTTGCTTGCTAACTTTTGTGTGGTCCATTTTCGATGAGACTAGCAGATCCTGCGGATGAGTATTCCGCTTGGGATGCAGCAGTGATCATAAATACTACTCCAACTTTAATTCTCGTAAAATACTTCCTTGTGAAAAGATAAGAAACTTTATGGAGAGTTTTTATGATAAATGTCTTTACTTTTTTAGGAATATAAAATTAAAAATATTAGTTTCTCATATTTAGTTTATCATATAAAAAATAATATTTTTAAGAAATATAACTTTTCAAAAATGATTTTTATACAAGTCTCCTATCAAATTATTCTCGTGAAGTAAATGAAAATTTAATATTCCTAAGTTAAAAGAAATGCCTTATTGCAATAAAATTATTATGTTACATTTATAAATAAATTCCAGTTTCTGTTTTGTTTGACCAAGCGTTCCATAAGTGTGTCTAAGACACCTAATTAACTCTATAAATCAATTAATGTGATGTTATTTTAATTTAATCGATACTAAATCTTGAATATACAATTGTATTAAATATTTAAAAAAAATTATTCTCATAATAATTATATTTGACTATATATATATATATATATATATACTTAAAGAGTAAATAATTAAATTTAAAAAGTTATTTTAGATTTTATGTAGTTTAAAAACTAATTAACACCGCATTACTCACCACTATTAAAGAGGAAAGAGGCAGTGTAACTCCTTGAATAGTAACATAAACATTAAACAATGACAATGAAGATTTTGGTGGAGTGAGATATGTGTAGGGAAAAAAGAGGCGAGAGGAAGAGGACAAAAGATGGCATAAAGGTAGGAACTCGAGTAGCAGATCAATCAATTCAGCGTTTTGAAGAAAATCAACAAACAACACAATAAATGTTTGGAAACAGAGGGATCCCCGTGGGTAGAACAGAACAGCGTGATGTTAATTAAGTCCCAACGGGATTTGGTGAATTGTTGGAATCATCTAGACTGTGTTTGTATTCACGTCCGAAACGTGGAAAATCACGTTTAACGTTATTAAGAAAAACTCAAGTCTCACATCGACTAGAGATTAGACAATTGAATAGTATATAAGTGGAAATCAATCCTCACCTTATAAGCCGGTTTTGTAGGGTTGAGTTAGGTTTAATCCACTATTCTAACATGGTATCAGAGTCATTTAGATCCACTTTAAAAATGGGTCACTTACCATTGATGCATGCCTCATAGTGTATTGGGAAAAACCTCCGCCTATCCTAGATCATTAAAAAAGGGTCATTAAAAAAGGGTCACTCACCATTTATCCACGTATCAAGCCCAATAGTGTTGGACGTAAGTGGAAAGCAACCCTCACCTTACAAGCCAATTTTATAGGGTTGAGTTAGGCTTAATCCACGTCTCTTCGGATTTTCGGATGTGAATATAAACACGCTGTTAGTCTCTGTCTCCTCTCATTTATCCATTTGCATTATCCACCGAATGTTTGGCTGTGCTCAATGTTCATCACACTTTTCTGCTTCTCCTTTTTCATTTTTCTCTCAACTCATACGCCTTTTTCATCAACACAAACTCCCATAACTCGAGAATCTTCACATCATCTCATCTATTCAGTGAGCCTATTTAAATAGGTTATTTTTACTTATACGTAATGTTTATGTTTAATATTGATCAAATGAAAGAACCTTTTTTATGAGAACAGATTAAATGTCACTTGCTGATTATGAGATTTAGACCACTATAGATGCGTGGCTTCTTCTTTCTCATGCCACATCTTCAATTAGGTAGATGAACAAGACTAGCTCCGATGGTTAATTTAGTTCAGGTTATATATTTATATGTTATGTTTATGAGTAGTGTGAATTATGTTTATTTGATTAAAAGAAATAAGTTTTCTTTTTATAAGAATAGTTTTGTTCGTATGATAAAGAAGTAACTTTTTATTATTATTATTATGGTTATCAAATTAGTCTTGTATAGTACTACCTCCACTCTATATTTTATATCCGGTGAGATTCGAACTCCGATCATTAATTTAAAAATATAAGTAATCATGGGTTAAATATTTGAACTAGATATTTTCATCATTTTATTAAAATTATAATTTGAATTTGAAAAATAAAACTAAACTAATTCACATTTCTCTATCATCTCCGTTTATTTTCTTTGTATTTCTATTTTTTACAACTTTTTTATGATCTGTAAAGAAATAAAATGAGAAAAGAGACAAGCATGTAACTGGATAAGTAATGTGACGAAAATATCAATCTCTTTTTCAAAAAAAGGAATATATATATATATATATATATAT